AATGCATGCTGTCTTCGTGGCTTGGTGTACTGCCGAAACAATATCCTTAGCCAGGATCTCTGATGGCCATCCAAGGCTGTCCATATTCACCTTAGGAACCATAGCTTTATTGATGGCACAGATCCGGTCATCTTGAGGCAGAAGCAAATCCCGCGCTGTGGCTAATGCATCAGTGGCAAAATGAGGAGCCAGGCCACGCTTGGTAACTGCAATACCTCGATAGCCCGTAATGGTTGACGCAGCTTTGATGAGGTCTGCCTTGTTTGCTCTGTCAATTGGCCAAAAGCATGGGATGATTGACAGGTCTTCCACCTGTTCTCCTTTGGGAATAAAATCCCTCACCACAAGCTCGCCTGTCCCGCTGGCAGCCAAAAGAGGCGTGCGGTGCTTCTGTTGAACCTTGAGCAGACATTGGTGCACAACGTCACGCTTGTCCTTGGTGTGCTCTTGGATAACCCGGTAACCATAGATAGCAGCGTGATTCCAAATTGGATCTGAACAAACCTCCTTCAAATGCAGCTTAAATTTGGCAAGTGGGTTGTCATAGAAAGCTTGGAAGACATCCTTGCTTGCAAGTCTTGCATCACACTCAAGGACAATCTCGCAAACAGCTGCCAGAGTCAGCGTAATTGCAGGTGTGGGCAAGACAAAGTTGACCTCAGGTGTAATCACCAGCAAATGGACTTGCCGTTTGTACTCATGGTTCAATGCTGGATCAAACACGATCACCTCGAAAGGTCCAGACAGGTGCTGAAGCTTGGCCAGAGGGTCTGTGGAGTCAATAAGTGGCAGCAGGAGAGCACACGGCTCCTTAGGCTGAATCTCCCTTGCACTCTGCAGATTTCCTTTCGAAACAAATGCCACCCCACCCCGGTTGGTGGACAACTGTTGCTTCTGAACGAAGGGCAGCGGAGTCTTGTCCTTGCCGACAAAAGGGTGGTCAGCCTGCAGCTGGAGATCTTCCCACTTACTCTGTTTAACCTGCTTCTTTTTGCTCTTCCATGGGTCATCAAGCTGCCATGGATCAACTGCCTGCATTGGTGAGTCTGTCGAAGCAGCACCTTCCATGCCACCAAGGGAGACCGCCGAACACGGTTGAAGGTAGCTTACACCTCCAACAAGCAGGAAGAGCCGTCTGATATTGGCCGCAAACACCCTCAACATTGGTGGCGCTCCTGCTGTTCTCCATGCTTGATCCGACTCATCAAGGATGAGGTCAATAAACTGCCGCTTCTGCTGTGGAACATGGAAGGCATCTGGGAGAGCCAAATCAGGCCGAGTCCGATTGGCGTCAATAATGATGATCGGTCGGAATCCAAGAGGTACAACGAAGTCTGTGGCAAAGTTGCGCCAAAACTGTTGGTCTCGGGGAGGAACCTGCAGAAAGACTGCACGGCATGTGTGTTCCTGGGCGTTGCAGACAACCTCAATGCCTACCCAATGCCCTTCTCGCAAAGCAACAAAAGCGCTGCACCTCCATACAGGTGGGTTTGACTCCAGAGGCAATCAAGGAAAGATCATGATGCAGGACTGGAGGACAGAAGGAGTCAGGCTGAAAGAAGGCTAAGGCAAACTCAATCTCGTTAGTAGTGGTGCATTCAGGATGGGTCCTGCAAATGTTCACCCTCTGCTCTAGCCAGTCATCTGCCACAAAGAAGATCTCCCTGATATCATAAGGATGGAGGGCCCTCCCCGTAGCTCTCAGGATAAGGTCAGCCGCACGACTTGGAGAGTCCATGACCGCCACCAGAAAGGCATTCCGACTGGCTCTGGCAAATTGAAGCATTGTGTCATCTGTTCGAGTCTCTCGCCAGACAAAATCAGCTTGGTCGATCACCTGCATGACATGCTCTGTAAACTGAGTACGTTGGAGGCGTTGCGTACTTCGATGGGTCACTGGTAGCAGAGGTGCACCTGCCCGTGTGTAGAAGGTTCGCAAAGTGTGCCACGCGTACAACTCAGAATCCTCCGTTGTTCGGATCCACCTGTAGGCATTGGGAAGCACATGAATCCCCATCACGTTGATCAGCTCAAGAACAGCATTCATTTGTCGGACCGTCAATTGCTCAGGTGAGTGGTACAGTACGCGCCATTGCGCTTCAAAGAATCGAACTTCCACAAAAATCCAGTCAAAGACCACGAGGATAGGTACCACAAAATGCTGAAAGCTCAGTTGCAGATCAGCAGGCTCATGTGAGAACCGAAACTGGGATTCATTGTTGACCCAGAGTGCCGGAGGGCACCAACAGATGGAAGGCATCAACACTTGGAGGATGTCAAAGTGGAATACAATCTCATCCATGGCCAGCGCCCCTGGCTCAAAATTGAACTGGAGCAGCCGGGCAACAACCACATCATTCCGAATATTACAGCTTGGTTGGTCAGCCAAGTGGTCCATGCCCCCAAAAAGAATGGGAACACCATCACTTACCCGAGTATCACACCACAAGATATCACCATTGACAAGCATCAGGGCTGATCATGTCGGCACTCCACTAAGTTCCGCATGGTGACATGGCACTGCTGCTCCAATAATGCATCACACTGCTGAGGTGTTACTGTTCGAGGCACCTGGCAAATCTTACACCACTTCAATTCATGACCTCCGGCTAGAAGGACCCATTTGCTTGAACTCACCGGCTCATATGGCCCTTTAATAGCCATGACAACATGCACTCCAAGCAGTCCAAGTTGGCATCATAGATCCATTCGAAGGTCCCGGATCAGAAGGATCTTGGCCTTCCGTCGAGGCTCATCATCTTGACACACATACTCAGCGACATGAAAGAAGCCAACTTGGTGAAGATCTCGCAAGCTGTCAAACTCAGGGTCATCTTCCTCAATGCACCATGGTCGTGTTGGCGAGACAATGGGGTCCCGATCAGCAGGTCGGCATTCTGTGTGAATGATTTGAAGGGAGCGCATAGTAAACCCTCCGAGCTTCACTGTGATATCCCCTGCAGGAAGGTGGGCCCAGGTAATGTCAGATGTCAAACCTAACCTGTCCCATCAAATACAAGCTGAGTAAGTGCTGCGTGGTGCTCAGCTAAGTCTAATGCTGCCAGCAACTTGTCCACAACGCCAATCCTGCCAGACACATTAAGCGGAATGAGCGAGGAATCCGCACAGAATCGCACCATGGTGTGATCAACCAGCCAAGGCTGCCATGTAACAATACTTGGAATCGCCTTGGCAATGAAATCTGCAAACGGCTGTAACACCAACATGTCATCACAAGCACGAATCATAGCTCTGTCAACTGTAAGACGATCTTCCCAACATTGCAGAATCAATTGCATCTTGTTGATCGATCCACCCTCAACGCCTTCAAGGCCAAAGAGCAAAGCCCTTTCCCATGGATTTGCAAGATTGCGTTGCCAAGCTGATGGAAGGCAATCTTGGAGTCAGCTGGGAGAGCAATGGCGGATCAATGAAGCAAAACTCATCATCCCTTCGTGTGAGAGTGGCAAAGATCCCTTTCGATTCAATGTGCTCTCTCTGAAGGAGGTGTTGCCCCGTGTAGGAGGCACATAGTGTAGGGAGATATTCACCGCTGTGGGCGACCCTCTGCACAAGAACTTGATGGCCATCAGCACCTTCAGCAACACGTACCTTTTTGGCTGGCGGAAGCAAATCACGATTCCCATAAATCACCATTTGATCCGGAGTCAACTTAAGGCCATCACTCAGTGTCTGAGGAAGGGCAAACAGGTGCTTGGAGTCATTCCATGGAAGCCGCCGGTTTGCAGCACAGAGCAATCTCTCTTGCGATGGTTGAAAACCAACATCCTTTCGGCACCACGCAGACAGCCAGCGTGTTCGATGATTGCCCGTCAACTGGTGGATGGCAAGATCTTGCGACCAGATTTTCCGATAACCTGCAAGCTGAAGTGCTGCAGAAAGTGCCCTCCAGTGAGGGTGAGCTTCAAGGCCATCCGAACTCAAACAATGCAAGAATTGGTCGAACCCGTACCAAGTGCTCAATGGAGTCCAAAAAGCTTCGAACCCTTCATCATTGGCCAACCCCGAATGCTTCCCGGAGGGGAGAACGTCATCAGCAGGTTCATCTTATGTGAAGACGCTCTGATGAGAGTCCGATCACTGATGTCCGCCAGGATGCCATGGAACACTTCTGTTGAGTCAAATGCCACAGGAATGGGGCACTTTAGATGATCACGTCCATGATTGAAGGACCATGTCTTCATCACCTCAGGACACCAATCCACCGAGGTGTGGGTTGCAAATGAGTGCCCCAAATTGGCCTGTTGAAGCCACCACATGGCACGAAGCCAGCCTTCGTATGCTCCAGAGAACAGGTGGGATACATTCCAGGCGAAATGCTTATCAAAGCGAGAGATATTCCACAACGGCATGGTGTCATCAGCCTGTACCTGGCAGTTGGCCAATCTCTGGTGTGGTTGCACCAGAGCACCAACCCACATCCCAGAAGAAAAATCAACACGCTCATGCACGACAGGGCAAACGATCTGAAAGGTTGCCCATTCCTCATGATCAGCAACAGGAGCCAAGAGCATGGAGGTGCGCTTCATGTCAATCCGAAGTGGGGGCCCAGCAGTCGAATCAACAACCTCCCCAAACAAGATCCATTCTTCTGAGTCACCTCGACACTCACCAGAATGCACCTCAAGGCGCAGCAGACCGTTTCAGCCAGCGTTGAAGGCATACCCGAAGTAGCCCAATGGATAATACCATCCTTGGCATGTTGGCCAGCATCGCTCTTCATCTCCTTGGTCGCCATGCAATCCCCAGTTCGGTGGAACCGAGGTCTGTGGACGCGCCACCCCAGGTCAGGACCTGGCAGCAGCGCCCCGGCCCTTGCGTGGGGGCGTAAGGCAAATGGTCTCGAGCCAAGATGCCTAGGGGGGAGTTTCCTTGAAGAAGCGCGAGCTCTCCTGCGTCCAAGGTAGTTACTTGTAGGTACTAGCTACCTCTAGCTCCTCGCGGCCTAACCCAAAAAAATAGCAAAAAATAACTATCTCCTTTTGGGGTCATCAAGGACTGCATTTTTGCCATCAAAACTCGCAAGGACTCACTCCGCTCTTCCAAGGACTGACTGAACTTTAAGTCGCTCGGAGGTATTTCGCCGATGTCCGCGGCCCAATCCCATGGGTATTTCGTCGAAAACTTCATCATCATGGATTGAGCTTTGACGCTGCTGAGTCGAACGACAGTCATGCCATCAAGCTTTGCCAGCATATCCGCTGTACCACTGAAATTGAGGCTTTCTGCCACAACGATACGACGAAGCCCAAGACTCCAAAGCCACGTCAGTGCAGCACCGCACATGACACATGGGCTTAGGGATGTTGCAAAAACAACCTGGCTCCAATCCACTTTTGAGACATCCTCTATTTCTCTTATGGCTGCAGTTTCACCATGATCCGTAGGATATCCTGTTTCTTCACTGGGCAGCGGTGGAATGCGGCCATTCTGACCTCCACTGCACTCTGCAATCACTACAGTTGGGAAGCTTAAAATGGATAACTTGTTTTGTCAAAAGCATTCAACCTTTGAAATAAGGAAACGACACAGTCAATCACAGCCTACAGCAACAACGTGCAGCGCTCCAGTCTTCTTCATCTCCACCGCAGCACCAGAGATTGGCACTCTCCCATCACTCAATGCCTTGTCAGCCCTCTCCAATGCTAGACGCACAGCTTCCAAGCCAGCTTCGGCAAAGTCACCAAGCTGGTGAAAATCCTCGATGCTCAGAGTCAAGCTAGTCGAGGTTTTTCTTGTCCTCAGGCTCGCCAAATAGTGCCTGATTCATGTATATTTCCGACTTACTGCCGATGTTGTCTGATTTGGTCAAAAAGACTTGAGAGGAGGGAGACACGAAAGGTAGGACAGCGGGAAGAGAAGAGAACGCGAGAGGCAGGAACAAAAATGCAATGTTCGACATGGTGATTTATCCCCTCGGAGGCGACCTTTCGTAAATATATGTTCATATGCACTCTAAATGTTCAAACATATGCTCTCGAAAGGTTCAAAAAGATTCTTAGGAAAACAAACTTGCCCCATGGCTCAGATCATCGGTGAGCATTGAATCGGAACATCATAGGATTTGAACTATCCTGAAACCATAAGAGGCTCACGAAGACACTCCCCAGGAGAGAATTGACGTGCTTCACAAAACAAACTCTAGGTATGTATCCCCTCGGGGAACACCTTTCGTAATTAGAATTTCATATTCACTCTTTCTGAATGTTCAAGAGGGTTTCAACTATCCTGAAATCATGAGAGGCTCACGAAGACGTTCTCCAGGAGAGAATTGATTTTAGAGGGGGGGGAGGGGGGTGAAAGAGTGACTAGGGCGTACACGGTAGAGGTGCAGACCGCTAGTGTCTTTTGCTCACGCAGAGTCTTATCCTATTAGGTCCATTGACCCTCTCTTGAGCCTTGAAGCAGTCAAGCATGGACACACTATATCAGCTGTTGGAGTGGAACCCTGTACAGGTAGGCTCTACTTTTCAGCAGGCACAAGATTCATGTCCACTTCTAGCTGATTGCGTATGTCGCGTACTCTTTTTCTACTGCAAGGCTAAAACAGTCCAGCTAGCTCTGACAACTTAAAAGAAAACTACGGTGCCATGTACTTACCTAATCCAGTGTGTTTCACGCTTCAGAGAAGGTAATCTCATAGCTACTAAATACAGTGAGGGAGCAATAGCTGACTCACCTCAAGTACAAAATCAAATCGATAATGTACCTCGGCTGGAGACTGTATTTTTCGCAGGCGGAGATACCATGTACCGGCGCTCACTAGCTCTTTATGGCCTGAGCTAAATCAAACTAAAAAGGGAAAGCGGCTTTTTCTCTACAGAGACCTATAAAAGAATTAAACGACACTCGCGTAACAAAGAACTAAAAATTCAAGACCGCACAATGCAATGAATTAAGATGCCTTGCAAAATGCAAGGAGCGTACGGTCCGAGGAATGATCTTCTCGTGACGTGGTCTCGACCGCTTTCATTCACAGACAAAATAAACTGCATCAAAAGGACTCTCTCTCACATTCACATCAAAAACACAAGAAGGAGATACCGGCAAATGTATGTACAAAACTTGCGCTACAATTGCAAATCTTGAAATGACTTAATCATCAACCATGACTGGTTGTTCATTAGAGGTCATCTCAGAAAAAGCGGCTGTGATAGATATCATCAGTTACGCAAAACTGTCCATACCTATCTACATGCTAAAGCGTATAAACCTGGAATGCAGGAGTATCTTCTTTGATAAAAAGTTTCTCCTGGTTCCAAACCAGAGTTTATTTAAACTTCAGCCTGGCAACTTAAAGTCAAGCCTGGAAGCAAAGTATCAACTGTAACCAGAAGTATCTTCACTTCCTAGCCATCATCTAAATTTCAGCCTTCGCTCAGGAATTATGCCGCTGCAAACGATGAAGTTGCTTGATCCGAAGTTGGCGGCCTTCCTTTCTTTCTATTCTGCTTTTGTCTCTCCTTCCTCCGCACGTTCGCCTCTTGAAGCGTTGCTCCCATGCGATACTGTCTTCTGTCTCCAGATGAAAGGGAAGCTGGTCTGAGTGAAATAAACATTGGACCATGACTGTCCTCGTCAGTGGGCCTTGAGCACATAACCTCTGTATCAATCATGGCAAAGTTCTCTGAAAAATTACAGATGAACTCCTTCGTGCTCACTGTGGAATTTTCATATTCCTCTACACTCATTGAATGACCCCATTCAACAATGGTAGACAAACATGTATCGCCAAGCTGTGATCCTTGGTATTCTTCTTTTTCAACAGTAGAGTATTCTTCCCAGAGTTTATCAAAGTAAACTTCACACTTCTTGAGGACCTGTGAAGTTGAACTGTAAAATGTTCTGGGAATAGGTGCTTTGATACCAAGATCTGCTTTTACACGGGCTTCTGAAAACCTGCGGATCCAATGCTGCATGGTGCTGTAATAGTAGTTAGCCATTGGCTGCCTTTTGTATCCAGACATTCTGTAGGCCAAACTATTTGCATCACCAGAAATGATGTCCACCTCATAGACAAAACACTCGTAAAGCATCAATGCTGTCTGTTCTCCTGTCAGTAGGTGGGCATCCACAGCACGGTGTGTATCAACATGATAATTACAGACTCTGATGGTATGCATGTTCGCTCGAGTAAGTGGAACACGCTTGTCCTCAGGACCATAGTCATCAAATTCAAAGTCTGCATCCTTGAAATCTTGACGAGGCCTTGTTTCTCCAAAACAAATCTCGTAGATAGCCCAAGTTACATCACGCTGTTCACAGTGACCAAGTTCTTGATCATGTCCAGCAATGATCTTGACATATCCACCTGGTGCCAATCTAGCCATCACTGCAAGATTCTCCCAATCATTGAAACAAACTGTCCAATTCTTTTGCTCAATAAATTCCTTGGCAGGAACAAGAAGATGAGCTTCCTGGAGAATCACGACATGCGCACGTAAAAAGAAGAGCATGTTGAAGAAAAGATTGTTTTCAAATTGCTCATATTGAAGTGACATGGCACTCTGCTTGCGTGGCTTCATTGCACCATCAAGTCCTTGGAGAAACCTTGGTGTGGTGTACTTCTGACCACGAACCATGTTGCCATAGTTCCAGGATAAAAATGTCAAGGACTCTGAGCTGGCCAATAAATTAGTTCCATACGGTTCTTCTATTCTTCCTTTGAGGAACCTTCTGCACAGCTCTTCATAGAAGGTGACAAAGTCCCAACTGGGTCCCTTGGGACCATATGATTCCAGTTCCTTCTTGAGTTCCTTTTTCGTATCCTCCAATTCTTCTCGAGCATGACCTGCCCTTTCAAGGGCCTTTGGATCGACCTGATACCTGCCATCCAAATAAATGATGCGGTCATCATTGATGAAGAATCTCTTCAAATCATGCTCTGGTTCATGTTCATAACAATCAGGTGGAGGTACTGGACAGACATTTTGAATGGATCGAACAAAATCATTCTCGTTGATCCTTGACTGATAATGAGGATGGGAAATCTCACCTTTTCTGAAACAAACATGATTCAGCAATCTTGCATGAGTTTCCCTGAAGCGTAGTTGATAAAAGCCAATACCTGGATCTCCTGTAAGCTCTCCAAGCAACTTCAAAGGTGAAGTGTGCAACTCATAGGTATTGTCAACCTTTGTTGTATCCTTTTCAACAACTACTTCAGATGGAAAAGATTCTTGGACTTCAGCCTCCAATTTCTTCTCTCCATCATCCTCTCTGACCTCTTTTATTTTCTCCACCGCCTCTTTCTTCTCTTCCATGGTTGCATCATCCTGAACTTCTTCATGAAAATGAGGATCAGGAATCTTATTCAGGCGGCTTTTCTTAGATTTCCGCTGACCTGAAGTATCCTCAAGGTTAGCATCCATCTCACCTGATGGTAAGTGCGATGCAGTTGAGTCTTCACCTATCTCTCTTGACAGAAAGTGTGGCGTTGACTCTTCCTTGGCTTTCTCCTGGTCAACTTCCATCTTTGGTTCCTCTGAAGGAAAAACACCTGCATCTTTATCACATATTTCTTGTTCCTTTCCAGGTTCAACTGCAGGATCTTCTTCAGGAACTTCCTCTTCCATATCCTCATCTTCTAGAAGTGTCATACTTCCAGTATAGACTTCACCAGCGATAGTGGAGACTCTTGTATAAGGAGGAACTTCTTCACCTGCTTCCAAAGCTTGTTCTGCAACATCCTTGGTGAGCAAGTCCTCTACAAGATTTTCTCCCTCGGTTCTTGGAAGAGGTCCTGAGGTCTCATAAAAATCTGTCCTCTCTGAACTGAAAGCTTCTGTCGCCTTCTCATTGTCCTTTTGATCCCTGAACAGGTGAGTAATCTTCACAGCTTCTCCCTGTAGCACCTGATCACCTCCTCTGTACTTGTCGACAATGGAGCGCCATACTGGAACATCATCATCATCAAAATCAAGCTCCATATCATCTGCCAACAGGTATGAGATGTTTTGAGCTGCCTGTTCTTCTTCTTCATCACGTTCCTTGGCAAGCTCCTCATCCTTCTGGATCTTGAAGATACCCTTCAGGATGTCTTGTAGTACCTTTAAGTTCAGCTTCGATGATGGCTCATACGTCCCTGAACTTACAGGCTCAACTACAACACGAGAGCAAGAAATCGCCTCCAAAAACTTGGAATTGTATTGGCGTTCAAACTCTTCCTTTTTGATCATCTCATACAAGGGATCAGAAACTGCAACACGCGCCTGAACATAATCACGAAGTTGATAGCATGCATGTTGCACAAATCTACTGTTGGAGTTGTGAAGAAAACTCTCCAAATGATTCCTGTCACGGTCAATCAAATACCACACAATCCTTGCAGAAAAACGGAATTTCTTGAAGTTCATAGCAAAATGTTGATGATACTTCTCTGGATTCCTTTCTGCTTGTAAAGCGGCCTCTGAAGTCTTGTAAACAGGAAGTTTTGTGTGTGGATCCAAAATCATAAACTCTTCCCACAAGATCGAGTGGTCAAGAACCCACTTGGGAAGCACCTTGATGAAAAAGTCACAAACAAGTTCTGACACAAGGTGCATGACACGACCAATCTCTTCCTCCTGCTTGAAGCGATAGTGCAGTTTGGCAAATAAAGGATTGTTGAATGCTTCCTCCACTGTATTGCCAAAATTATCCCACTGAGGTTCTGGAATACCAAAGTTCCAACCCAGCAATTTGGGATCTCTGCACATATCCAAGAAGCTTGAAAGCTCTACAGAAGCAATGCCATGGTCT